TCGTTTATTGCTTAAGTGGCTTAACACTGTGTTCGTCCATAACTTAGAGGCGTCCGCACTCATCTGCGAGATCTCCATGGAGTGTCCCCCAACTGGTGCTTGCCTCAGTGTTCACTACTCGTGCGCATGGAACTGTAATCCTGATGTCATCTTCAACTTTGGGGAAGTCGGCAGGGCTAGATGTTGGTGTGTCAACTTCCACCACCACGCTACTTATACCCGGCGCAGTAGTATCTACCTTTAATCCACCACACCGTTTCCCTTGAACTCTCGTTTGTACTTGAAGGCTGAGTTCGAAATTGCGGTAAACAGCTGCACCGTCTCAAGGTACTTGGATGGTAAACTAATAAGGATGAAGAGGCAACACATCATTCCAAAGTCCATAGACACGCTGGTGAACAAAACGTGGCGCAGGTCGTTCGCCTTGCAGTTCATGAATTACGAGGTGTGAATCGACGAGACCAACTGCAACCTATTTGCGCTCGCACTAGGGGCCGCTCACGACGTGGCAGTCAAGCGCAGTGTACGGTATCGAATGTTCATCTTGTCGGTGCCATGACAAACAGCGGCCTGATAGCATGTTTGGTTTTGATAGGAAGATACAACAAGCAAAGAAAGGTGCGCTTGATGGCTGAGACAAGTGCTCGATGCTAGCTCAGCAGCGTTTGTGGAAAGTTGCCTTTTGGTTTGTGAAAACTGGCCCTGTCACACGCATCTGCAGTACGTATTCCTGGAGTAACCTTACCGATCTGGGAAGCTACTATGCCTTGCGCTGTACTCTCCATCACTCAGTCCCATCGGGGGCATCTGGAGTATAATAACGGCTCGTATAAAACAAGTGATGAGAATACGGTACTCCGAAATGCTCCAGGGCGGCCGTGAAGGTATTCTTAGTAAAAGCGAGTGGTGGATTCGTTTTTTGGAGTATGCGCTGTCGGCGCAGCAGCACTGCGAACAGATGGTTAGCACGTTAAAAAGAATTATGGATGTGTTGTTCATTTGGTTGATCTGTAAAATATTCCGCTGGCAATAAACTATCTGGTTTTAAACGAGTGGCAGCGTCCGTTCTCTAATCTGCATTTTACTATGTCCTGCATGTGGGCAGCCAAAGGATGCCTACGCCTAATGAGAGATGGACTATGATTGGCTTGCGCTGCATCACTCATAGCTTCATCCACACACACACACACACACACACACACACACACACACACACACACACACACACACACCATATCCAGTGTAACTTCATAGGAATAAGATCGGGATTTAGGTGAATGATAGTCACGATTCATCAACAAAGCCGACACACACTTCTTCAAAACGCACAGCATTCCTGTCGAAGTTGCGAATTAGCCGGCTACCGAACATCATATGCTAGATGGAACCGCTTATTAAGTCTAGTTCATTGCGAATCACGCAGTGTTAACAGAAGCTTTCCCAAAATCGACTATCACCTTTCTTAGCATCAAATCCACTAACAGTAATTTACAACTTCACCACTTCAAGGGAAAATCCACATATTTCACAATCGCGGTACATAAGCATAACTGGATCGCGCTGTGATTGTCTTGAGGCTGGACGGTCAAAACTCATGTTGCGAAAGTAAGGTCTTTTGTCTTATTTCTCTGGGATTCGGGTAGTTGCGTGTGAAGTCGCGTTCGGTCTAAGAGCCCGTTCAACACACGCATAGTAACCGTGTTGCACCTAAGTCGCACGTGTCATACAAACTTCGAATTTTGTCGGTTACCTTATCATGCGTGAATATAGTTCCAAGTCACATTGGTTCCTCCGACTAGGAGAGTCAATACCAGATCGTCAGAGCGTGGCGTAACCAAGAGGGAATCATAACAACTTGGCTTCGTGCGGCATTGGCTTCCGCTTTTCGAGAACATGAATCATGACAGTGTGCAGATGGTCGTGAGTGATGCAGCGCAAGCCAATCATAGTCCATCACTCATTAGGCGTAGGCATCCTTTGGCTGCCCACATGCAGGACATAGTAAAATGCAGATTAGAGAACGGACGCTGCCACTCGTTTAAAACCCGATAGTTTATTGCCAGCGGAATATTTTACAGATCAACCAAATGAACAACACGTCCATAATTCTTTCTGACGTGCTAACCATCTGTTCGCAGTGTTGCTGCGCCACTAAGGTCCATGCTTCCGACAGCGCATACTCCAAAAAACGAATCCACCACTCGCTTTTACTAAGAATACCTTCACGGCCGCCCTGGAGCATTTCGGAGTACCGTATTCTCATCACTTGTTTTATACGAGCCGTTATTATACTCCAGATGCCCCCGATGGGACTGAGTGATGGAGAGTACAGCGCAAGGCATAGTAGCTTCCCAGATCGGTAAGGATACTCCAGGAATACGTACTGCAGATGCGTGTGACAGGGCCAGTTTTCACAAACCAAAAGGCAACTTTCCACAAACGCTGCTGAGCTGGCATCGAGCACTTGTCTCAGCCATCAAGCGCACCTTTCTTTGCTTGTTGTATCTTCCTATCAAAACCAAACATGCTATCAGGCCGCTGTTTGTCATGGCACCGACAAGATGAACATTCGATACCGTACACTGCGCTTGACTGCCACGTCGTGAGCGGCCCCTAGTGCGAGCGCAAATAGGTTGCAGTTGGTCTCGTCGATTCACACCTCGTAATTCATGAACTGCAAGGCGAACGACCTGCGCCACGTTTTGTTCACCAGCGTGTCTATGGACTTTGGAATGATGTGTTGCCTCTTCATCCTTATTAGTTTACCATCCAAGTACCTTGAGACGGTGCAGCTGTTTACCGCAATTTCGAACTCAGCCTTCAAGTACAAACGGAGGCGTTCAAGGGTAACGGTAGGCTCCGCAGAAGCCCACTCCACCAGACAATCGACGGGGCTTTCTCCCAGTGCTCTGCGATGGACTTCCCCGCGCTGCCCCATCAGCACACCCGTATCCAGTTGCGGCAAGTTTTCACGTTCAGCGTACAAGCAACCTGCTTCCAATTCTCTCCTTCCTCGTACGCTTTCAGTATTATGTTCTTCGCCTCTATCGAGTGACGCGTGTTCGGTCCCCTTCCCACCATTGCGTTTACATGAACTAAGTGTTCACAATTGCACGGCAAACTTATTTGACTGCGGCTCGTTATCCCATCCACCCCCACTCGTTGCACAGACGATTGGGCACAAATGTCAGCTCTCGTCCTAATTGGTGGGATTCGCTTCTTTGGTGAGAGAAGTACGTGACCACATGGTGTATCGGCCGCCAACCCTGTAGCACGTTCGGGTTGAAGCGTATCACCTGAACCCCTATGATTGACGGTGCGCACACGCTGCTACCTATGTGCGTCTGAGGTCCTTTTGGATGAAAGCGCTTGGTCATACAAGCAGCTACACACATGCACAAGTGAGAATTAGACGCCCGCCTCAAAGCAGCTGAGCAATGGACCAATTGTTTGCCTCTCAGAGTTACTCCCTTGTTGTTAAGCCTAACTCGCTCGCCCAAGGGGCCAAATTGACCTATAAATTTATAGTGAGCGAGTGGTTACTGGGCAGTCCCACTCGTGCGCATGTAGGGAAAGATCTGGGTGTTTGAAGAGTTGACTGGCGACGGTGGTTCATACGATACATTCCTGCTCCCTTTAGTTCACAGTCGACCAAGTAGCTTGGTAACGATCAAATGCACGACGTACTCTAGCCCAGCGAGACACTTGATTGGTTTGCGTCTGGATGGGATGATATGTGCCTTCCAGAACAGCTAGTATGGTTGACGAGAGTAAAATGTTGGGATCTGTAGCACGCCGGTATGCCGTACCGACAATTCGCCGCCGCGCCACCAACACAAGTCGTGTTAGGATCGCCCGGTCTCTGCGCAGACTCAAAACAGCGCCCTTGGATTACGACGAAGGCTTGTGACCCTTCAGGCCACGGGCCAGGAGTGACAAGGTCATCTAGCCTGATTGGAACAGAACGACGACGGACGTGGTCTATGTGACTGTTAACCACCCTTTCGTCTGGTAGTATGACAGTTGTCTGACCTACGATTTCGCGTAATTCTGCAGATGGCCAATTCGGTTCGTGGGGTAGCTTGACGTAAACCGACTCGTTTCAACGAAATTTCGATGGTACCTTTTATTAGATTTCTTTTGTCGGACCTAGACGCGTAGTGACTGATCAGAAAATAGTAGATCTAGCCAAACACTAGTTAGCCTGGACTCTTGCCTGTCGTTTTACCTGGTGTGGAGCGGTAAGCGGATAGAAATTTGTCCAACTTCGCTCCTTAGCTGTACAGTCCGCGTAAAGAGCTCCAGCACATTATCACCGAGGCGTGTGAACAATAGGGATAAATCTGGGGACCAAGACGACTGCTACTAGCAAAGGAAGACTATTAGATGTTGGTGTGTTGAAACATTTCTTAATGAGCAAATGTATTCTAACTGCAATGCGCTCATAAACAATTGTCATACATCATACATGCAAGGTGTAAAAAAGAGTTTGATACTGATAACGCAATCTGCAAAACATTTTCGGGAC